GAAAAGCATTTCCAACTCTGTAAGAAATTGAAAGTTAAAAAAACAAAGTGATTTTCATTCTAAGTTTTGTATCACCCAACAAGAAACAGCTACAAATTTAAAGTTTTAAAGTTTCAGCTCATCTTCCTCAATTCTACAAAAACCAAAACAAACAAAAAGACCCAACAGATTTTAGCAACCACTCACCTTCACTATCGAAACCCCAGAGCCAATGTTCACCAGTAAGTATGGGAAAATGTTTGGGTGATTTGTCTGAAATCGGAACTCTGTGTCTGAATCCTTCTGGTATGCAAACACTTCATGGGGGATGTTCCTCAGCAGAAAGTTGCATCCTTTGATCAGGCAGGTCATTACATCTTCTTTATCTACTCTGAAGTGGGGAAGGGAAAGGAACTTAGAAATGTCACAGCCTCCCCGATAACCAAGCGCTGCTTCAGAACATTCGTTTTTAAGACTTTACAAGTCTTTACATGCAGCAAAAGTCCAGATCTTTTAAACCACGAAACCCAGCTTTGCATACACTCCACCATTCAACTTCAGTGCCAGAACACACAGACCAGAGTGAGGCTGCAGTTACACAGTCGCTTTGATCCTCATTAATCGTTCCTCAGTAAAATGCTCCTGCTCCTGTCTGTGTCTCCATCGCTGCTCCAGTGCTCACACAGCTACATGTGTGCCCATGTGATAAAGCAGGCCAGGAAACCCATCTGGCAGTTAACACAACACAACTATTTTCTAACGTGGCCTAATAATCTATTGCTCTTCCCATGCTTTCTTAAGAAGGGAAAAAGACTACAGCATCATTTCCACTCATTTATGGCAGATCACGATGACAGCAAGCAGCCTGCTGCTGGGATCTCTGAACACACACAGACACTTCATGAGAAGAACAGGATCTGAACAGCAAATCCCTGAGCAGGGAAGCTCAGATAGGGTGGATGTTAGAGTTAGCCAAAGGTTACTTCTGCAAACTTCTGTATCTAATATGTTGTTACTGGTGTGTGCTAAATTTCTTAGATGAAGTATCAAAAACCTTTACTAAAAACACAAAAGCAAAACACAATTAAACATCTCGACTCATACAGAATGCTTTATGTTTCTCAGGAAAGAAAAGCTGCTTGGGGACCAATCAAGTCTGTTTCAACATGTCAGCAGAATTCTACCCACCAGAAAAAGAAAGTTATGCAAAAAAAGCAGTGTAAAAGGAGACGAAGAGAGTACCTTAGAAACTGGGAAACATGCTGTGTGAGGTAACGTTCTATACTGCTGTAAGTGAATGATACAATTATCTGTACTTACAGCAGCTTTTTTAGCATATGGCTTTTGATAAACGTGTGTGAATGGTGAACCCTTCAGTTTCCTGCAAGGCTCTGCCTCTGCATGAAGTACAGGCAGGATCTATGCAATAAATTACTGTGTTGTTTCAATTATTTACCTTCTGGGCATGCTCAGAAAAATAGTAGAAGGTTTTGTAACTGTGAACTTCAGAACCCAGGTAGCTGTAGGTATTAGGTACATACAGAATAAAAAAAAGCTTGCCAGCAATATCTTGGCTTTTAATAATACAGCCTTCTTGTAGATAGCATCTTTGGATTTTAAGTAATGACTCATAATTAAAATAAATACACCTCATCACAGTATCTGATCAAAGATTCCCAATTAAACTTGTTTGTAACAAACTTATTTCCTGCTTGCTACAGCTCAAATACTGTACTTTATATACAGCTGGAGGTTTTGTGCAGTTGGATGATGACGGAAAGTTCAACAGCACTGACAACTAGGGTAGCACCACTGAAATGCTGCTAGCTGGGAGGTAAAGAGTAAAAAAAGATCATCTTAATACAGAGTAATTTAATTAAAAAACAAAACAAAAAATGCTATTGCAAACAAATCCTTTCAAGAAAAGCTTTGATAACATCATACTTCTTCCTTCACTGCCTTTCTCCTGAAGCTCCCTGGCTTTCCTACAGACCTCTGCCCTGCCAGTTAATGATGCAGTATCCTTTTGCAACTCCTGCTCACTAACTACTGGGTTCAGCCCGACCTGACCCAGATGCACACGTGTCCTCCAGCCTCCACTTCTCTACGCAGATGGCTTTTAGGGGAAGAATGGCAAAGTAGAAAGTTTGCCCGCTATAAGGCAGCGAAGTGTCACTTCAACGATACTGAACTCACTTTAAACAGTTTCACTTACTTCAACCCCAACTTCTTCTCAATAAGATCTTTAAATTTATAGGCACCACCACCTGTAGCTTTGATGACTTGAGTCTCTGTATTGACAAGATGGTCTTTGATGAAATCTAGACAAGTTTCGATATAATTGTTCTCAAACTTGATGAAGTGCAGGCGAGCTGTGATCTCCTCCTGAACTGATATTTCATACAAAGGTTCGTTTTCTATGTCCTTTAAAAGAAAACAATTAAAAATATATGGTAAATTTTCTCCCATGCATGAAATCAAAACACGTATGAAACAACAGTTTACACGTTTTTCAGAAGTACCATACTGATCTGTCTAGAAAATAACTATTTCAGACAGCAACTGTAGCAATCTAAGCACTGTCATGGTGAAAGCTAGAAACACAATGGAGATTGCCCAGAACAGAGGCATTACAGAAAGTCAAACTGAGTAAACTGCAAATAATGTTTTGTATAGAAAGAAGCACTAGACAGCTTTCAAAGAAGACTTCTGTTGTACTATGAAAAGCCCAGTACCTTACTTCCAGTTCTACCTTTGTTATGAGTCAATCTCATGCAATTCATTAATGATGCAGTCCTTACCTTTCCAGAATGATCAAAGGATCTCACTCTTGCCACTTTGTGCTGCACAGTTGAATAATAAGCCAACTTGGTTAATGAGCCACCTGTTAAAAGAGATGACAACTTATGATTAATGCCTCACCCTACAGCAAACAACCTAACTTATGTTTATGTACGCTTTACCTAAGAGTTTTTAGCTGAGTTCTCTTCTTCTAAAGCCAAATACAATTAAGCTAAGTGCATAATGTAGTAATCAAAGAACCCTTGTCTTAAAATCTGGCATAGTTAGTGGCAAATGACTATGTGAGAAGAACTCCAGGAAATCCACATACAGCAGCTGATGCATCTTGTTTCTGTTCATCTCCAGCCATCTCCACAAGTTCTTACTCATCTATACCACCACGTCTGCCTGCTCTACAGGTAGCTCAGTTGAAATACTCAGCTATCTGAGCTGAGCAAATAACCGAAGGCAAAGCAGGTATCAGCACAGCATACACTCCGTGTAGTTGAAAACTTTCTACAAGGCCCAGATCTGCTGCTTACAAGGACATTTTATATGTAAGCTTGCCACGTTTGAGCAATGCATGAAGTCAGACTGAATAACTTGATTTACTCATTTTTCTTTGGGCAAATCAATACCTGCTGTCTTAAACAAGTGGATGTTTGAACTTGAACATACAGAGCTGTCAAAATGTTTGTTAAAACATGTGCTTTTTTCTTTCCTCAGAAATAGGGCAGGTATGAGGGGAATCCTCTTCAACCTCTCATGTATTAAAGTATCAGTAAGCTTCATAAAACAGCTGCTGTGGTTGTTGGAGGAAAAACAATTTTAACTCAGACAAAAGTAGCATGGGCTACTTAGCACCCTTAGTAGCTACCCTACTAAGCACCCTTATCATATAGAAAGGCAGCTTTAACTTTGTACTCACGTCTCAAACGTGTCTACAAGGCACTCAGAAGGTCCGTACTTCTCAGTGCTACAGCTCTATCCCATAGCTGTGTTTAAATCTGTATGCATAGCTGGCCTCTGGCCAGAGATCTGGCACACTGCCTTCTCAGTACGTGTGTGCAAGACCAAGCAAACAATTATAACCAGCTTCTGGTTAAAACCTGAGTCCTACCAGAAAGAAGTCTGTCAGTTCATAACATAACTGCTAAGTGCAGTAGTCCTAACTCTGCTACCTTACAAATGAATGTAATCAAGGAACGCAGCTTGAAAACTAATCTGCTGGTGCCTGTAGCTTTGCCTACGTAGCAGTGCTACAAACATAGCTTGTCTCTTCCATAGTGCTGAGATCAACATGGAATTTTTCAGCAATCTAGGAGGAAAACGGAAGGCATTCTCCAGCAGTGCTCAAGTGAGGTCAGTGCAGAGCAACCCCCGGCAGACACTTATAGTAACAAAAGCAATGAAGCTTTCCTGCCCCCAGATGTTATTTCAGAGCACCGGGCAATGCTGTAACGTTCCTGGTACACAAAACCCGAAGCTGCTGATCGCCTACAGGGGAGGTTTTTCTTCTTCAAAAAACGAAACAGGGACAACAAAAAAATCTCAGTGATTTTATGTGCTACGTGGAGAAGCTTTCCTGCAAATCTTGTGGGAGAGAAACCGCTTGTGTTGACCGCAGCATTCTGAACAACAGCAGCGGGCCGTGTGAAGGGGCACTGCGGTTCACAGCTCTCGCAGCGCGGCCCCCACCAGGGCTCCGCTCAGCTGTGCCGCAACCGGGGCCGTTCGGGCCTGCTGCCACCGAGCAGCTCCCGGCCCCGCCGCCTCGTGGGGAGCAGCCGAGCCCGCGAGCCCCTCGGAAGAGCAGCCCGCGTCCCTCAACCCGCCGGGCTTCCCTTTCCTCGCCCCTCTCCGCCGCCAAGGGCAGCCCCGCACTGTTCCTAGCTAGGCTTGCCCCCCCCTTCCCCCGCTGCCCATTACCGCCGCGCGGGGCACGCCGGGAGCTGTAGTGCTGCTCTCCGCCCGAGCAGCGCCGCCGCCCGGGGACGGGACTTCCAATCCCGTCGTGCCCCGCGCCGCCCCCTCGGCGTGTTGCGTGCTGGGAGCTGTAGTCAAACTCCGGGGCTCCGCGGCAGCGCGGGCAGCCTGGGGGACTACATGGGACTGCACGTCCCAGTGTGCCCCGCGCGCCAGAAAGAAACGGGCCCCGGTGAGTCCCCGCAGCGGGGAGAGAGCCGTCGCCCTTCCCCCCTCCTCCGCGCCACCGTCCCCGCCCGGTTACCGATGTCGATGGCGAAGCGCTTGGCGTTCTCCAGGTTGCGGAAGATTTCATCAGGTGGAAGGGTGATGCTCTTATCCAAACTGCCGTGCCCGCCGCTCCCTCTGCCTCCCCGCTCCGCCATTTTGAACGCTAGCCCCGCTCCTCGCCCGGCCTCATCGGTATGCAAACGTATGTGCATAGATTTGCATGTTAACGAGGCGGGGCGCGTGGCTGAGGCAGGAGGTGAGGGGCGTGCGTGCGCCGAGCAACGGCTGCCCTGTGCGCGTGCGCGGAGCGACCGCTGCTCTGAGCGCGTGCGCGGCGTAGCGGCTGTGCCGAGCGCGTGCGGCGGGTAAGGGCCGTGCTGGGCGCGTGCGCGGAGTAACGGTCGGTCTCGCGCCTCTTCCCGCCTCAGTGCTGAGGGGAGCGGGGCGGCGTCGGCACGGTGCTGCACTGTGCGGGGCTCCACAGCCGCCGTGCGGGCGTCGATGCTGTTACATCAGCCCCTGTGGACCTTCTTCGTCTCTGGTGGGCCGCAGGTAAGCCCAGGCAGCAGGAGTGTTGTCAGGGCTGTGCTGGCTGCCGTTTTCTGTAGTAAGAGCTGTTTGTGCGAAGCTCCTTTCCTCACCTGAGCTGCGTTGCATCCGTGCAGCCGATGTCTGCGCTCTCTTCACGGTCCTCAGCTGTGTGGCAGCCCTGCTGGTTTTGCCCAGTGTGTGCAGTGCCCGTTGGGTGGCTCACACGGGATGCTGAACAGGGCGCTGAGCGCCTCAGCAAACTGTGAGGCCCGTGGGTTGTGTCTGGGAGGGGGGTGTGAGTCTCCCTTTGCCTTTGCTCTGACCTCCTTTGACAGATGTGGCTCTAAGCTTCCAAACCTCTCGCAGAGTGGGGAGGCCTCTGGTTTTGCCTCGTATTGAGAGCCCTGTTTGTTAATGTGGAGCTTTGTGTTCATTCCTGGAAAGCAGCGTTGGGGGTTTGAGCGGACGTGGAGCAGTTACGGCTGCTCCCAGCAACGTGTGCTTTTGTACCAAAATCTGCCTGTTTAGCTCACAAACTGAGGGTGAGCCAGGAAATGCAGGGAAATCAGCTGTGTAAATCATTCAATAAACCCAACAAGTTATTCTTTCTTAACTCAATTTTTATTTTGTGCAACCCCCGAATTCAGGATGGTTTCTGACACGAGTTATGCAGTGGTGCAGCTCGCACATAACATCATAACGTCCTCCAAGGACAGCACTGATTTTACATTCTCCCCCGTGGGGCTACCAAACAGTAAATATAATTTGTACAACTGCCTTTCATAAAAGACTGATAAATATTTCATGTAAAATCGACAACACGGCCGTAACTTTCATTCCTATAAGGATATTAGAAGGAGGTGTTGCCTTTATAAAAGGCATACATATCCTGAACCTCACAAACAGCACTCTGACTTTGCGAGCAAGACATCCCGAGGAATTTCCTCTACACAGCTTGAGTTATGGTGTAACCATTTCCGGAGCTCAGTACAGTCTACAAATATCATAGAACCTGCTGGCAGCCAGGTTTTCACATGTCTGCGCTTAGCCCAGCCCCAGCTGCTGCCTGCAGCTCAGGTGCAGGTGGTGTGGGGGTCCCGAGCGGGGCAGGATGCAGGGGGGGCTGCTGCTGAGCAGACACCTGAAAACACTGACCCAAACATCTCAGCAGTTACAGCTTTCTCAACAGATGTACCCGTGCAACCTCGCTGAGGTTAAGTACAGTCAGCGTTCCTCTCTGAACAACTCGGTCCTCCTAGCAGGAGGGTTACGTGCCGCATTCCTTCAGAATGACTTTCTTTCCACGTGGTGGGAACATTTCAGTCCTTCTGGAAGAAGGGAAGCAGGCATCCATGTGCAGTAATGCTCTGCAGAAGGAAAACATTTTTTCCTACTGGTGAGAGGAGTAGGGGGACTTCTGTAGCAAGTCGTGATCTCCTCTGGAATGTGCATCAGTGTCCAGGTGATGGTGGACGTGCTCTTGGCCTACCAAGGCCTCCAGAGGTTGCAGGAGGGCTTTGCTGGTGCTTGTTTTGCAGAGGGGTGGTGAGTGGAAGTGGGTGCAGAAGGAGAACCAGAGTCCTTGGGCATTGCTTGTGACCTCTGGAAATGGCAGATCAGCTTCATCTGGGTTTCTGTGTTTGCTGAATGGAGAGAGAGGAATTGCAGAGCTTCTTTGAGGCACCAGGCATACCCTTCGCAGTAATCCTGCTGTAGGCTTTTGGCAGATGCTGCAAAAGCTGAAAGAGGAGATGAGGAAAGAAGTGTTAGGCAGGCAAACTCAGATGGCTGTTGTGTCAGAAAGCAAGGGCAGCAAGGAGTCGGGGATCAGGGTGTGCGCTCACCTCGGCTGTATTTCAGGTAGCTGACAGTCATCTCCAGGATGTCGGCTTTCTCCAGCTTGGAGTTGGGTTGGTGTCTCTGGAACTCCTTCTCCAGCAGCACCTTCAGCTGCTCAATGCTGCTGTTAATCCTATCGCGACGCAGTTTCTCTACAATGGGTTTTCTGAGCTGTAACACAAAGCAGGAGGACAGTTAGTGACATGATTTTCCCCTTCCATCTCTATGTCATCCTTTGCTAAAGAGGCTCAGCCCTTCTCAGCCACGTGCCCTTGCAGTCAGAGCGGATACTTACTCTGTTCTTCTCTTTGGGTGTCAGGATTTCCAGGGAGAGAGTGCTGGGTGCCATTATCCGAGAGCTGCCGTCAGCATGAAGCTGGCTGCTTGGCCGGTGGGGAAAGCAGTGGAGAGTTGCTCTATTTATACGCAGGAGCTGCATACAAATGTATGGGTCCAAAGCTACTTTGAGTTTCCCACAGTCGAGATAGCCAATCCATGTGTGCCCCGGGACAATAGGGACAGCATCTATTACAGCATGGTAAATTGACTGTGAATTGCCTGGGGATAATACCCTGCTCCCAAAGGAGCAGGTGGACAGAGGAGCGTGTGACACAATAGGGCCTGGCATGAGGGCGCTGGGGTAAGAACGTGGGAAAGCGTTTGCCGTCATTATAATCCAACTTCTGCCTGATGTTGGGAACGGCGACGTCTCAATGTGCTGCCTTTTCCCAGGCTGTGCTGAAATTAAGCACAGAAGACTGATCCCAGGAAGAGATAATGCCAAATGACCAAAAGAGAGCTTGAAAAGGAAAAGATGCAGAATTAGAGGGAGTAAACCCCCTCATTGACATTAAACCGTGCTTAGATGAATACAGTACCAGGTAATTTTTAGACAACTACAGAGTGAAATCAAGGGAAGAACCCTTGAAACAACTTGCTCTAAGCTGTTAGCTCGCTATATTTTCCTTTCCCTTGTTTAAATGTGTCAAGTTCGTCTGTAAGGCATATTAAGAGCTCTTCCTTGCTTTGTTTGGATAATCTGGGCTCTCCTATGGCAGCCTGTGGCATGTAATGATTATGAGGCCTTTCCCAAATGTGTCCTATTTGATTTCACGGCGGTTTGCAAATGCCTCCCTGTTCCCTCGGTTCTGAGCCTCTAAGCAAACCCCTGAATATAGTTTCCCTGTACAGACAGCTGAGGTGTAGGAAGGTCAGTTCTTGCTATCAATTTATGTGCGTTACCCTATTTGCTGGATGTAAGCACAGCTGCTAGGATACCCTGGGACTCTCTGCCACCCTGGGCTTTCTCAGTACCTTGCTTTGTGCATTACAGGGCAGGTAAAGAAGCAGAAGGGAGCAGTCAGGATCTGGGGCTAAAGCTGCCTTTCTGAGATGTTTTCCAGGCAGCTGCAGGTTCTGGGCCCTCTGCCCCAGCTCCATCCAATATGGAGCTGGCAGGGCAGTCGTGCCCTTGCAAATGCAAGGTCAGAGGCTGGCACTGTTAGTGCTTGAGTACCCATTTCTCACTACAGCAGTGTTCGTGGAAGCCCTCTCTGTTTCCTCTGCCAATCTTTCAAAACTGATGAGGAAACCTTTCATTTCCTGTGCCAGCTGCGGTCAGCCTGCTTCCTGCACTCAGCGTCGCCGTCAGCAAGGCCACAACCTGTTGTAATCGCTGATGGTTGGCAAAAACCTATTGCTGAGCAGAGAGCGTGAGTCCTGTTGGAAATCAATTCCTAGCATTATTTTGTCAGTCAGTGGCTGGCACTGTTAGGTGCAATCCCTGCTGTATGTCCGTTCTGGGTGTGCTGTGCAGCTCTGGGCCCACGCAGAAAGGCTGTGGTCTGTGGGAAGGCCAAGGGCTCAGCGAGGTGGGAAGGAAGCTGTGACCCAATTTCCAGTTCATCCCAATTTCCAGAGATACGAAGTGAGTGGTTTTAAATAATGCCATCCCATCACCAACGTCCCACGGCTCCCAAGGGCTAAACCAGCTCGCGCTGATTAAAGCATTATCCGTTCCTCGGCACGGGCAGATGGTGCAGCAGGCGTTAGCTTTCTGCTCGGGACCCACCGAGGCACACTTCTTTTGTTGGCAGTTTAACACCGTGAATGGGGCAATGTGGGAAACCCTTGGAATTGCGGGCTCGCACCGTGTGATGTGAATGGTGAACCAGGCTGCCTTGCAGCGTGCACAAAACAACAGCCCTGCACCTTGAGCCCCAGCTTCCCTCCCCTGAAAGGGCAGCAGATCTGCCTCACCTACCCTGGTAGCTTGGGAGGAATAAAAGAGAAACAAGTCTCTTTTTTTTTTTTTTCTTTTTTTTTATTCCCCTCTTAAGTTTGTTTTGATTATTGAGGCTTGGAGACTTACAAGATTCTTCCCCACATGAACGTCAGGTTAAGGAACTCCCTGGAGTGTCCCTACTGTGCATCCTGTGTGGGATGTGCTCTCTGGAAATGCTTCAGTAAGGGAAGAACTCCTTTGCTGGAGGCAGAAGGATTGCTCTGTGCCAAAGCCTCTGTAAGCAGTTTTCTCAGCCGGGGCTCTTGAAATTCAGCTGTCCCACTGACACCTGTTGGTGGTCCAGGCCCCATCCCCTCTCTGCCAGGGATCTGTGCCCCTGTTGTGTGGAGCCAGGAGGAAGGCTGGCAGCGGGGCTCAGAAGCAGGGTTCACAGAAACGTGGCCCCAGATTGCCAGATGTGCAGAATGTGGCACAGTCATTCCTTTTCTCAGAGGCTGATGTGCTGGGTAGGCCTACTGTTGGAAGCAGCAGCCATGCTGTGCACACAAGGGCTTGCTTTTTTAGTGATTCCTCTGTCAATCCCATTGTGGTCACGAGTTGCAAAACCACCCATGAGATCATCCGTATCCAAACAGCTGGAGCACTGCTGGGCCGTGGGGCTTCTGCTGGGAGGTGGCAGTGTCAGCACAGGCTGACTGGAGCCTCACGCTCCCATGTGCCCTGGGCCGTGCTTCATGCATATGGCTTGGTGGCTTACACCTTGCCTTTCCACAGAGCATCTTTATTTTAGACCATTTCCTATATCCACGTCAGCCTGTCTCAGAAATGCTTTTGATGGTGTTTTTAAAGAAATAATTACAATATTTTTTTCTATGCCTTCCATAAATGGTTTAAAATCTTTCTGACAACCCCTCTCAAGACACCTATTTAGTGTCAAAGAGCATAACGTTCCCAAGTTTTAAAAGGGCTCACATAATGCTGATCGATCAATGTGCTCCTTGGGAAAATAGCGCTCCAGATGGCCTATCGGGACAGGAATTGCTGGTCACCACAATGCAGAGCCAAAAAGCGTCACTAATGCGGGCTGTTGTGAGGCACGCTTCCTTTGTGGTCCCTTTGAATGTCATAAATGGGGGAGAAAGTGTGGGAAACTCTGAGAAACTCAGGCCCACACTCTGAGGTTAATAGGGGCTTTGTCAGGAGAGTATTCCTGGGCTGTGGGATCAGCATAATAAACAACGTCTTCCCGAGGGGCGGGAATGTGTTGGGGCAGGGGAGCGTAACCCCAGGGGACAGAGGAGCTTTACATTCAATTATTATAAGTGATAATAATTAATAAATTGTAAACATAACCTTTGCTTCGCTGGGAAGGGTGAAACCGGAGGTCTGGCTTTTTGCTCACCAGTAATTGGGGAGGTGAAGCCCGCAGGCTCCGGCAGCCCAGGAGCAGAAGGGCCTCGTGCAGTCGTGGGCCGCCTTCCTCGCGCTGCCCAGCACAGCTCCCTGCAGGCAGAGGGCCGGAGCTGCCCCAGCCCAGGGCTGCTTGCTGCCTTAATTGGGTGTGGTTTAATAATACACAGGCGTGGATGAACAGCTTGAGTTTCGTTGGGATGCAGAGGCTTGTACTAATTGACAAAGGCAGGTTGAGCGCAGCAAGGTGGTGACTTTTCACCATCACTAAGCAACCAGCAAAGCTAAGAATATCCCCTCTGAATTATTGCGTATCTCGTTAGGAAAAACAGATCTGTCTCAGCACTGGCATCAGCACCGGTGAATTGCAGAACGGTACCAGAAACCCATCCTGTACTTCATTGGCAGGTGGATGAACAGCTCTCACCTGGCTTGTGTGCTCTGTGTAAAGTAAGAAGCCAAAGGGGCCATGCAGCCATAATGAGGTAAAGCAAAAGGTTGTGAGGTGGCAGGGGGTCCATGGCAGGTCACGTAGTGGCCAGGTGCGGATAGCAGGGTTTGCAAACAGTTGATTTGATCAGCTTGGATGATCTGAGTTTGACCCATGTGCTCTGTGCCCAGGGACCTGCCCAGGCTGCACGTGGGCACTGTGCCTCTGCAAATCCCGCTTAGCTCGGGGCGCCCAGCTGGTGCAAGGCGTGTAGGCAGCCTCTTGTAAATCTCCTGTAAGAGGATATGCCAGATTTGTGTGCTGAATTGAGCTGGGGTGAGAAAAACGAGGGAGGACCATGTAAAAGAGAGGCGGTGGAGAAAGCATCTCTTCTGCTGGAGGGTAGGGAGCACTCTGAAGCCTGTGGGTGTTTTTCAGCTCCTGAGACACAAACCCCATTCCTGGTGTGTTTTGGACCCCTAGGTAGGTGTCAGGGAAAGAAAAGAAGTAAAGACTATGGGGAAATGGTTTAGGAGGAGAAACACTGTTTTAATCTTGGATTGCTATCGAATTATCTGTCCTTTCAGCCATTGTTTTGTCTGTTACTACCTCTTAATTGGACAGAAGGCAAGGAACTGAGCACAGATTGGTGAGCAAATTAATGAAGAATGAGGAGAAATAAACTGGTTGTGAGATTTGTGATTTGCTGAGGTCCAAATAGGTTGCTGCAAGTACCTGGGGCTACACCACTCAGATTGCCCCTTCTCTTTCACCTCCAGTTTTGGTTCTGATTGCTTCTCCTGGAGATCCTTCTCTGCAGGATCTGAAATCCTGCTCTGCCAAGTGTCACAGATACAAACTGTCCTGGAACGAAGGGCTTGGAAATGGCATCTGCTGGCTTCCCCACTGCGGGGGTCTGCCTGCAGCGTTGCGTCCCAGAGCATTATCCATTTTAATCGTTTAAAACCAAAGGATTACAGGCCAAAACCATTTTTATTGTATTGTACAGCAAAGACACCAAAGTTGAGCATCGCACAGGATGAATACATCACAACTTTATAAAAGCTTCTTAAGCTCTTTAGCACATTCAGCCAAATGCTTTGTACTGATTGCCTCCCTTCCTCCCCCACCCTCGCCCAAGATATATTACAGGTATTTCCTTTACAAAAGGCATCGATTTTCCCTCCTTGGAGAGCAGCATACTGGATATTCAGAGAATTTTCCCTACTCTATCTGTTATCATAATAACGATCTGTAAGGAATTGTGCTATGAATAGCATAGGAACTTCAGAAGCATCAGTGATTCTGAATAACATCTTTCACTCAGGAGAGCTCAATGCTGGCTTTATGATACAAAGTACATTCTCAGAAGTGCTCCTTCTTTGCGAAGGTCGGGACATTGTCTGCAGACAATGCAGCACTTGAACCAGTGACCCAGGGAGTTCATAGAGAGATTTCCACTGACAGCCGCGGGCTCAGCAGCCAGGAGGTGAGGTGGAAGCGAAGGGCTTTGGCTCCAGGTTGCTGCAGAGCTCAGCCTTCTCTCGGCTCGGAGCCACCGGCAGGAGCAGCAGATCTGCTGCGAGATACACTGTCCTTCAGTGTGAAGGGAAACTACTCAGCGACCTTCATTTCTCACAACAGAAAAACAAAGCCTTCCCCCTCCCACCTTTGGAAAGCAATGTTTCCTACTTTGAAGAGGGATTATTAAATCACAAGTCCCTCTATTTTTTTTTCCTTTTTTTTTAGCAAAACATAGGAATAAAGCAAAGTTCATCAGTAGGTCTACCAGGGTCTCCAGATGGTATGAGCTGCTGCTGCAGTTTTCTGGGCAGTTTTCTGGGCAGGCTGCTTTCTGGCAAACACACAGGGTGAGCGAGGTGCACTGCGTGTGGCAGGAGAGCGTGTGATGTCTGCACCCATCTGAGCTTTGCAGAAGTGCTTGAGCAGCTGGGCCTGAGTTTCCTTCCTGGGTTCATAGTAGGATAGAAAATGCATCGCTTCCTTTAGGCACCGCAGGTATCCGCTGTTGAAGTCCTGCTCTGGGTTCTTGTGAATGAATGCTAGAAAAGAAAGAAAAGCAAATAGAGTGAGATAAGGTTGTTATCCAAGCACGGGGCAGTGGCAGCTTGTGCTTGAAGCTTCTTTCAGGGGACTGAGTCTTTGAGACTTGAATGTGCCTTTGGGCCCTGGTCTGGGGGGGGAGCAACCCAGGGATTTCTGGGATAGCAGATGCCCATGGGAGCGTGTGATGTGGTGGTGCTCTGTGCTCACCTGGCTCCTGCAGCTGGCTCTGCTGCTTCAGGTAGCTGACAGCCACCTCCAGGACATCGGCTTTCTCCAGCTTGGAGTTGGGTTGGTGTCTCTGGAACTCCTTCTCCAGGAGCAGCTTCAGCTGCTCAATGCTGCTGTTAATCCGGTCACGGCGCATTTTCTCCACCACCGGCTTCCTGAGCTGTAAAAGAAATGCAGCACTTATTAGAGATTTTCTGTGGCCTGACCTACTTTGCCTTCTGACCCATTCCCTGGTACACACAAAGTTCAAGGACACTTTCTTTTGGTGGGAGAGCTTTGCCATGCTGCCTACCTGTTACTCATTCATTTTATGTTTAGTCCCATTTGTATTCCCCAAGACCATCTTCTTTCTCCTTCTCCCATCTTTTCCCATGTAATGCTTGTTTGGCAGAGAGAGTGCCTTGCACAGAGCGCAGACCAGTCCTGACCAATGTGATCCTGTCAAGGGCTTTACTTACTTTATTCTTCTCTTTTGGCAGCAGTTTCTCATCCATGTGGATCATGAGAGTGTTACTGGGAGCCATTCCAGGTGGTGTCAGCCCTGGGTGCTGCCCGTCCACATGGGCTGCTGTGCTGAGCATGAGGCTCTGGCAGTGCTGACCACCTCTATTTATACACCCAAGCGTTTAGCAGATATGTGAGTCTTGAGGTTGCTGATGTTTCCCACAGCCAGTCAGCCAATCCAGGCACGCAGCTGAACAATAGGGGAAGCATCCATCAGTGCACGGTGCATTGATCCTAAATGCCCTGGAGAGAATAACCTTCTGCCCACACCGACTGGTGGAGTGTGCAGCCTGGCTCTGCTGGGCTGCCCAGGGATCTGGGAAAACACTGACCCTCCAGCTGGTTGTCTGCGCTCAGTAGCGCTGCTGCGTCCCTGCATGTGCCAGTCACATTTGTGGAGTGGAGGAGGCACGCTTTTGGGGGAAGGTAGGAAAGGAAGGCGGGGAACAGTGTTAGGGTGCAAATCAACAGCACCAGACACATCCTGTTACTCTTTCTGAAGAGCACACTTCCCAGCCAGCCTCCTAGCTGCAGTGTGCCGGGCCATGTGTGCATGTTTGTGCTTGTGCATGCAGTCGTTGCACTGTTTTTACTGCAGTAATGAGTGAACTGATGTGTTATCAGGGTGAAACAACGAGTTTGTTAGCCTGGCATGTCTAAATGCTGTGGAGAGTCTGAAGTCAGGTGCTAGGATGGCTGAATAAAGATGGAATGAGAATCCAATGGAAATTGTAACCTCTGTTTGCCTCTTCCCATTAACACACTGGGACCATGACCCTCTTGGGACAGTGTTGCATGGCTTTTATTACAGACAGGCATGTGCCTTCTGGCAGAACTGGCCCGGTCACCCCATAGCTCTTTCTTGTCCCTTTTTTATCCTCTTTCTTTCATACAGATTCTTTCAAGCATGGTGGTAGGGATGAGCTAAATAACAGCATCAAGTTCAGTCCCAGAGCCCCAGGCTTGAGCAGGCAGAGGCAGGTTGTCCAAGGGACTGAGTTACCAAGGCTGATCTCCAATTCTCCTGCTCACCTGAGATTTGAGGCATGACATCTTTTCATCCCACCTAGGAGTGTCCCTGCACTGCGACAGACTGGACCTGCCAAGAGCGTTCAACCAGCACACTGCTTTACCATGCTTTACCTTTACTGGTTTACCATATCAGCCATATCAGCCCTGCTCAGTTTTCTCATCTGGAAGACGGAGATGGTGCTGCTTGCTCTTACATGCATGAAACGTTTCACCAAAAATAAGCAAATGTTCTTTTTTGGCAAAGGCAAGAAAATGAATGAAATTTTGTGGACACTTTAGATGAACTCTGATTTTGTCTGATTGCAGGGTGTATTGAGGCAGCACTGAAAACCATCTAAGCTGCTGGAGCGAACTGCTGTGTCCCATTGCCTGAGGCCTGGCCTGCAGGGGCAGAGGTGTGCTCATCTCCCAGTGTGCTGCTTGTGCATGGAGTATGCCTGAGGATCTAGAGGTGGAAACGGCGGAGGGAGGCATGTGTGAGGTAAGACAGCCAAGGACAGATTCTTATTTGGAAGTCCTTAAGTGAAGCCCAGGTTTAACAAGAAGTTGACAGGAAGGAGGGAAGTGTCGCTGAAGTAGCCAGCTTCATGGTTTTCATTGTATGGGCCTGAATGGGCTTAGCTCTTTGTTAAGGGCAGATGTTGTCTTCAGAGCCCTTTATTCCTGTGTTGTGGGAAAGCCAGGAGACAAGTCATCTCATGAACGCTTTGAACTGGTCGAAGGATTATGCTACAAGATAAGATACAGCTCAGAGACCATGCCATAGCTTTTGCCAGCTGTCATAAGATGTTACCCTTTGTTCTGTAGCCTTTGAATGGACTTCCTCCAAAACTTGGCGTCCTGTGCTCTCCCTCCTAGCAAATGAGCACTGGTGTCAGGCCTTGAAGCTAGGAGGTGACAGGTAGACATGTACCAAGCTGGTTAAATTTAAGAAACTCTTCAACGTCAAAGAACATCTTTTTCCTGACTCCTGAGAAGCAAGCCTGACCTTTATTGCTGTCTTATAACCGATAGCCAGATGGTCTTTTGGGAGTTGGATTCTTTCCCTTTAAATCATTCAGGTTCAAGCACCATCACTAATGTTGTGAGTAGTTGCAAGGCACACTTCTATTGTCCCTACAAGAAATGTTATCAATAGGGGAAAAGTATGGGAAAGGCAGAGAAATTCAAACCCACACAGCCTAGTGCTAATAACTCCTTTGTGGAGCCTGTGCTTCTGTCAGGGCACTATGAACTCACAAGGCTTTTTCAGTGAGTAAGGCTGAAAAGCTCATGTTGTGCTGTGCAGGCAGCAGTTACTCAGGAATCTGTTTACTAGGAGAAAGGGGCGAGGTGGGGCGGGGGGCAGGGATGCTGGTTCACACTCGGGGGGCTGGAGGAGTGCTGAGCTCAGCTGCAGCCCTGGCTGGTTGGTTTGCTGTGCTGTGCCTCAGGGTGCTCTCTTGGGAAATGGGAGCAGTGCTACTGGACAGAGGACTGTTAGGAACTGCCGTGGGTGCTAGAGAGCCCTTGTGCTTTCCTGGCAGAAGAGGCATTGCTTGGGAATCCTGCAAACTCCTGTGAGAGCAAAGTGGAGAAGGAACAGGTCTGGGGACAGAACTCTGCAAGCAGGAGCGTGCAGGGCACGAGTGCACCACAGGGTACTGTGTTAGAGAGGAACCTCAATGTGGCATTATTGTGCCTTCTTTAAACATCAGAGCCCTGGCAAAAAATGTCTTTAATTACTGTAAAGTACATTCTTTACATGTTTAACCTCTTGAATTAGTTTTTCTTTAGATCCCGAATACTTAATGTACTGTTATTCCCAGGTGCATAAGTGGTCTTTTATCATTAAGAAACATATGAGACAACTTGATCTGCATTTTCAGGGTTGTTAGAGGCAAAAGCAATTTCTGTAGCTGCTTGTGTGGCTGACCCTGAAATAGTCATACACCCAATGACATAGTCTTTGTATAATGAGTATTAAAAATAATTAAAAATTAAGGAGAATTTATTATTTTTCTGCCCAGCTGAAATTCCCACAAGTCACCTCTCAGCATATTCAAGAGTGCACAAGAGGGATTTATTATTTCCTGGTATATTGACTCTGAAAGGTCTGGGGATTACAGCTGCTTTGCACATGAATAGCTGGAGTGTGTTGTACAAAAGGCACGGTCTGTGGGATAATGGGGTTGGATGTGGGAAAGCGCTGACCCTGGGGGAGAGCAGGCTGGTGCCTGATGGCAGGAATCAATTATGGCTCAAAGGAACACATTGCCCTGGGAGCAGGCTTCGCGGGAGCCACCATGTTATGTGTTTACCACCCTCCTTCTCCAGCAACCCATATAAAACAGTCACAGAAAATATCCTATCCTTCTGTCCTTAGCAGGGGACTCAGCTACACCTTGCTCTGTAGTTACTCTGTTAGTGGCCTGTTGGTTATGATCTCAGGAACAAAACGGTTCCCATCTCACGGAGAGTGCTGAGACCAGCACTTAGCTCACACATGCCGCCAGTTTTTAGACTGTAAAGCATCCCAAATCTTGGTGAGTGAATTCAGTGCACTCTCCAAAGCCCTTAGAACACCTGGAGCCCAGCAGTCATCTGCTCAGCTCCAGCCAAGGCAGGGGAGCAGCCTGTCGCTGCTCCTGAGCTGCTGCATTTCCTTGGTTTTGTCTTTGGAAGATAGTGCTATTCAGTTCTTACATTGATCTGGCATCATTGCTAACCTTTCAGATGTCAAAATTTGGGTTTCAACAAACAATTCAATGGGATAGAAAGTCATAGGGATTTAACAAAACTTATTTGATAGTTATAATAAAAGTAGAAGTATTTTAATGGATTTTTACTTACCATTTGAACTGTGCTTGCATTGACATTTTTTGTTTTTTCTCTTTGCCAGAAGACTGGCAGAGGGACACGTGCAGGATCTAACTGCACATAAGGTAGAGTTGGTTGCCCTCACCATCATGTCGTAGTGCAAGGTGCACTGTCAGACCTCAGGGTCAAGGGAATCTAGTGCAATGGGGGAAGTTTCTGACACTAAAGAAGAAGCAGTATAGAGAATAGGACTGGGACCCCCAGAACACCACCTTGTGTAGCTGGCAGCACTTGTGCCCATGAGCATTTGCAGCTTGAGGCTGTGAGTAGGAATTAGACAAGAAGCCCTAAGAGCTGCTGCTGGGGTCTGTTGTCCAGACACCTTTTGCTATGGACAGTGGTCAGCATGTAACACCAGCCACACACAGACAGCACTGAATTGTTCACTACAGCAGAATGGATCCTTCTGCATTTCTAAGCCCTGGTTTCATCCAGCCCAGCTGCCTAAGACCTGAAATTCTCTTACGAACTCTGTTCAGCTTCTTACAGAGAGTTGATGTAATTCAGGCACAGTGTATCCTCTCTTCTGAGGTCCCAGAATAGCTGTTACTGCTGGGAAGCAGCTGGACGAACTGAGTGGTGCCGACAGACAGCTCTGCACTACAACTGGGGACAGCTGCAGTTTAGCACTGAGATTTTGGTAGGTCTCTGGGAGCATGAATAAACAAATTAATTTTAATATTAAATCTTGATTTACTTTCCAAACAGATCAAGTCCATTTCTATCGATTCGATCATTAAGTACTTCCTGATTGAGCACTTGAGTGCGTTTTCCTTTTCAGCTATTTTTTTGGTTTGAACAAATTGTACTGAATCACATTTGCAAAAGGCACTATTGAACTTGAGTGCAAAGGAGAACTTTTGCATCTGCTTAGCTAGGAGGGGCACTGCTGCAAGTGTGGTCCATGCAGGTAATCCCTATTCTCCTATAAGCTGGGGTACTGGCAGCTATTCAGAGATAATAAAGCCAATTAAAACAAAAGTGGGCTCTGAGCATCTTCGCAAAACAAGTCTAAAATGACTTCTGTTTTAGACCACTGGACTGCAGGTAGGCTTAAATACTGAAATTTTGGTTTCTCCTTTCTGTCTCATTTTCTACCTTTGTAAAAAACTTTGCTAGTAATGCATTCTTACATTGCAGAGGAGGTTGCTGAGATTCATTAGTTGGTATTTGTAAAGCACTTTGAAAATGCAAAGCCAGTGCATTATGCTTGGTCTTGCGGATGCTTTCCATGTTATTAAAAACAGGATTTCAGAAAGGCTTATAGGGGATCAAAACAGCATCCCAAACTTGAAAGGAAGCACGACTGTTAAACCATCAACTGTCGCCTCCCCCTCCAGCCAGATGTTAAGCCCTAAAGAACTGAAGTGGCACAAGGAATTACTTTCCCAAGTTCCCCCAGCTGGGCTGACAGGCCTTGATCAATGGTTTTCTCCACTGTGAGTGCTATGCAGATGGTCTACCCAGAGCAAGGTTTCTGTGAAGTACAAAAGGAAGTCAAACACCATTTCTAATTCAGCTTGTAGCATGGCACACTTCCTTTATCCTCTGCCTGAATGCAGTGAATAGGAGAGCAGTGTGGGAAACTGGAAGGGACTCCAAACTCACACAGTCTGAGTGGCTGTAAGACACTCCTGTCCTCAGACCACATCTGCCTGTGACAGACGGGAAAAAGAGTGACAGAACGAAAAATCAGATTATAAAAACCTGCTTGAACGGGAAAATTAGGTCTGAGTAAAAGGAAGAAAGTGAAGAAAGCCATGCAGAGAAACAGAAATTGTGACAGGGCCAAGCAGGGGACTGCCAAACAGCAGAGCGAGGAAGGGCTGGGAGGAAATGGCTGAGGAATGAGCTGCAGGAGCAGAACCTTGCTCTTCTACCAGTAAGGCCAAAGAGAATTGTTCCTCTGAAGGCAGCAGAGGTGGTTTCAGCTCACACTGCGACTTCTGAGCCACATATTCTGTCTTGCCTCCTTACTAAAGACTGGCTTGCATTTGGTAAAAAAATGTTTGCCAGAATGATTGAAAAAATAAGTACAGCACATTGCCTGTGGAACAGCAGGGCACTGCTCCCTAGCTCCATGTGTCAGCCAGCGGCCATTCCTTGAACAAGCTTGGAAATGCTGAGCTTTAAAACACAACCAGTGTAGGTTCCATTCAGTCACCCATCACCACAGCTTTGGCATTTTTGCATCTCTTTGCTGCACTGCACTCAGAGCAAAAGGTTCCTCTGCACCATGAGGATCTGTGCACTCACCCAGGCCTTACGTTACCCGAAGAGCAGTGACTGCTTTGTGCAGATGTGGTGCTGGTGCTTGTCAGAGATCCCCAAGGGAGCTGCATCTCAGCTGAGGCATCCCTGTCTGCAGCCCCCTGATGAGTATTCAGTCTTTTACCACAAACCACAGGAGCTGAGCTTGGCTACTACGAAAATTAGCTCAGATTTCATATCAGTAATTCTATGGGGAAGCTCTTCATTAATATTCTAAACTGTAACGGGGTGGTTCAAGGAACAAAACAGGGAACAGACCAAATTCCAGGACTGATATTTGGCAGGGGAAAATTAAGGCTCAAATTCTGCCGATTAGAATTTGGATGAATTCCTCTGTAGATGGAGGGATAATTGTGCACAAAGAGATGAGAAAGGAGCTTTGGAGGTACAAAGCCTACAGGCTGAATGCTGTAGTCTGCTATGCTCTTTGTGGAGGCCAGAGTTCCTGTTGGCTTTAGTGAGGACCCAAATAGTTCCAAAACCTGGACTGTTCTATTTTTTAACCTTAGTATGATTTTTAGGACAAAGCACTTAATGATGTCTCCAAAATTTTGCTGGTTTTCCTGTTCTGTGAGCCATTGCTCTCAAGCATTTTGGCATTCTCAGTAACTTTCTAACATACTGCCATGGAAGTTTGTGTACCTCAGAGTTTCCCACACCATTTCTTAACTATATTCATTCCTGTCACAAAGGAAGTGTGCCTGACTACAAACCGCATTAGCAACGGTGCTTGCCTCTGCATTGTGTTCAGTGGGAAACCCTGCTCCCAAAAGGCCATCTGGGCTGCATGTATCAGGAGAGAAGCAATGGGGGCAATGAGCATCAAGACTTGGGAAAGCAGCAGCATCCTTAAGTCTTCCTACAGAGCTAACATCTGGCAGAGGTTCTGGGGCATTACTCATGCCATATTTCAAACATCCACATCCAGTATCTTGGGATCCTACTAAGTTCTCTATCCAATATTGTGGATGTTTGGAATCACAGTAAAAGGTGTATAAATGGGAATTCATGAGCCTTAGTGTAAAGTCCACTGGCTCTGTTAGCATTATTCTAGGGATGATGATGATTACTATTGCTTTCTTATTCTCTTTTCACTTGAGCCGTGTGTTGCAGCAGTGAGGTAAGGCACGGGGCTACAGCAGCTGTCCTGGTGCAGGCAGCAGCAGCCCCGCTGAGCTCCTCTGCCCTCTCCCATGTACACTTCTTCAGCAGCACAGAGCAAACCCCCAGAACAGCAGGGGCTCACTCATGTGGTAAAAAAGACGAGGGCAGACCAAGAGACCCAAGTCACACATCTGTTCTGCTATGGGAAGTTCATATGTCCTTCCCCAGAGTAGAAGTCCTGCAGTGAAGCAACCCTATAATGCACAGCTTCCTGAGAACCTGAGTTTCAAAGTTCTGTGCTGCAGGTAGTTGCAGAGAAGGTATCTGACACTGGCCACCTGTGTAAGGCTAAAACTGGAGTGCCTGTTTGAGCAACTTGCACTGTGAGAGGAAGTGATGACTCTTAGGGCTGTTTACTAGGAGCTAATCTGGGAAACTGAAGCTGTTTCTAGCAAAATTGCAGGTGGACCCTATTGATCACAGCATTGCCACATTTATTCCTCATGCACTTGTCAGAGAGCTCAAAAAATGAGTTGGTACTCAGGAGTTTCTCTTTCAGAGAATCTCCCCAGGAGAGATGCACAAAGATTGGTTTCAGAGGTGGCATTACATGAGCTCAAAGATAATCCACAAGCTTTAAGGAGAACACGTGAAATGGTGTCACAAAAACTTTCCCACAACTTGACATAAAAGACTCAGAGCCCAACAGCTGCTGCTCTGTACGCAAAGAAGGGGGGCTATTCACCAGCAGTACAATGGGGATGGAACTGCAGATCCTGGAAGAGGTCATTTAGGCCTTACCTGGGCGAACAAATGCATGAGTTGCAGGGTCAGAGAGAAATGTAGATGTGTTTATGCATTCACATTAAAACACATGCATGATCACATATATGAGTGTGTCAGTATATAGATGAACACACAAACTGTATTGATGTAGACACAGTATTTATGTAGTACCCTCGCTGATTCAGTAAGAGATCCCAGCCATAATCCCTAGCATTACTTTACAGTCCTTTATCTGACAGTTCACATTCCCATGTTGCTGCTTGCAGAGGGATATGCTGAAGCTCGCCTAAAGGGGAGCTGAACTGACGTGATTGCAGCGCACACCTGGAGCAAACTCGGGGGCTGGCACAGCTCAGATGTGTGGTTCATGGCCTGCTCTGTCTGGCTGCAGCCCTTCTCTGTGCAGGTCTTGGGTGCATGTGTAGAGAATGCAGAAAACACTGCTGCCATTCCCTGCGGCTGTTTGGCTGGAGCTCATAAATAAAGCATTTGTTTATAAGATGCAAATAGCAGCACTGTTAACTCTTTTTGAACAGAGAACTGCAGTGCAAAATAATGAGGAATCAGAATCTTGACTTCTAGCAGTTCTACAGGCTGTGTGAATTTGTTCTGCGCTCCTTTGTGCATGGATTAAATGAAAGCAGCATATGAGACTGAGCTGATCCCCAAACTCAAATATTTCTCCTCTTGGATTTATCTTGTAGATGTTTGAGCAACACTGGGTGCTTGTGACAGGGCTTGCGAGTATTCAAAGTGGTTCATAAGATCTCAAGGAAAGAGAACAATTATCAAAATAGAAACTTTTCTGGATAGCTGTGTATATTTAAAGGTACATATTTTACAAATACATTTAAAGGTATTTGCAGTGAGGCAAACTGAAAAAGGTGTTTTCTGTTTCACTTCAGCAAAACTGGTATGCCCCTGGCTTACTGTGAGAACGAGGCAAACAGCCTTAAAGAAGTTCTGCTCTTTATCTCAGGAAGCCAGAAGCTGCTCGTGTGTGCACTGCATTGGTGCACGCTTAGCGTGTGCCTCCTGCAGCCCGGGAGGAGCGCGGCCGCACGCAGCCTGCACGGGGGGCTCGTTGCCCTCCACGGCTGCTGGCCGCCTCCTTCCTGGGCACCCGTGGCCGCCGGCCTGTGCTGGGAATGCCATTGATCTCTGGCATTAGTCAGCAGCCTTTGCCCATTGAAGGCCAGCTCTTTCCCAGCTTCTGACATGTAATTCTGATCCCGGGCTTTCACGTACCACGCACTCCCCACCTGCTCATCTGGGGGAAGGTCATTATCCCCAGGCTATTCACTGGCACTGGAGCGTGCAAGAATAGATGCTTCTGTTATTGTGCTGCCTATCTCTCTGATTGGCCACAGAGTGTGGGAAACTCCGCCAAGCCTCAGACCCACAGACTCTCAGGAAGGCTGCACAGTATAAATGCAGGGCCGAGGCAGCTTCCAGCGACACATTTCTCCTGGACTTCCACTCTGAGACATTCCTTCCCCTCTCGGGACAGATGGCTCCCAGCGTTGTTTTCCTGGAGCCCGACAACCTGCTGACTCCAAAGGAGAGAAACAAAGTAAGTCCAGACGTGGTGGGGCAGCTTGGAGCCATGCTCTCAGCTGTTCTTGTAGCAGTTTCCAAAAGCTGAGAAACTGGTCCACTTTGTTTAGGAACAGTGTGAAATGGCAGAGAGGACATCTAACAGTGAGTCTCTTTCCCTTTGCTTTTTACAGCTCAGGAAGCCGGTGGTGGAGAAGATGCGCCGTGACCGGATTAACAGCAGCATTGAGCAGCTGAAGCTGCTCCTGGAGAAGGAGTTCCAGAGACACCAACCCAACTCCAAGCTGGAGAAAGCTGACATCCTGGAGATGACTGTCAGCTACCTGAAGCAGCAGAGCCAGCTGCAAATGAAGAGTGAGTATCAAGTTTACTTCAGCCTTTAGTTTTCTATAAATCTGTGACGGTTTTGTGAACCTTTTGCCATGAAGAATTGCTCTAAACTACTTTTTTTTCCCCTCCCTCTTTCTTCCCTTCTCTAGCTTCAGGATCCTTCCATAAAAGCTCTCAGTTTGACTTCAGAGAGGGTTATTCTCGGTGTTTGCAAGAGGCTTTCCATTTCCTCTCTCTTCATAAAGTCCGAACTGAAACACAGACCAAGCTCCTAAGTCACTTCCAGAAGAGCCAATCCACTGCTCCAGAGGTTTCCTTTTCCCCCAGCAAGCCCAGCACCCTGAAGCAAGCATCACCAAAAGACGCCGGTACTCTCTGGAGGCCCTGGTAGTCAGGGAAGCTCTCACTTAGTGAACCTTTGCCTCTTAGAGTCCAGAGGAAGAAACTGACTGCATCCGATAGTCCAGCTCTGATCCTCTCTTCTGTAGGGTGCATTATTTCCCCATATACTTTATTTATGTGTGAAAAGAATGGCGTGCTTTTGACTTTTATGGGATCCTTTGGCAAAAGCTCAGGCATTCTGTTGTGTGGTATTGAAGCTGTGTAGGTACTGGTGGTACAGAGCACAGTGTGTTGCCCACTTTGTGGGCACATGTCTCCAAATGAAGGAGGATATTTTTGTAGAAGTTACTTTTGTGATGGGCAAGAATTGCAGTAAGAGAATTTCCCTAGTATTGCATGTAAGAGCCATTGGCTTTGCTCTGGTATGTCTGGTAACTCTCGTTTGCTCAGTCATTCTGGAGAGTAAATGTGCAACTTCAGTTCATGCACACTTAATTAAATTCCAATTCCTCCCATTTGCTCATAACTTGTACTGTGTGAAAGGTGGTTTTTGCTTTGTCCTGGACTTTTCTTCTTTGATAGTCCTAGCACATACAGTGTGATGGATGAACTGAAGCTAGGAAACTATGTGGAATATTTCTACTATTTTGCTGCTTTTTTCGATTTAGAAAAATAATGTGTTACTGCTTTATGTTAAAGAAAAGAGTAGATAAAAGGCTCGATTTGTCAATGTTATATATTTGGGTGTAAGTTATGCTTTTTCTAGCATCTTCATTATAATAATGATTGTTTGTCTGTATTGAGTGCTGTAATCCATGGTGGATAGTGTTTCTCCCATTCCTGGGACAGCCCTACGGCTTACATGCATACTGTGTATGCGTCTCTGTGTTTGTAGAGAGAAATAAAATGCATTTGTGTGCAACTTTTCTCTGGGTTCTCTGTGCTCTGTGGGATGTGTAACCATTTGGTCCCTGGAAAGCACTCACATGTCAGTCTTCCAAAGAAGGGGTGTTTTTTAAAGTTAAAGGAGCTCCTGTTCATGTCTATTCTATATATTCACATTTCTGCCTTACACCTTTACCCCCATGAGGTAAGCAATTGTTACTGATGCATTCTCTTACCTGAATCGCATAGAGCTCCTCCTTGGGCTCTGCCTCTCCCAAAACCTCACCTGAGTGGTCCAGCCTTAAACTTGGCCATCTGGCCCCCTGCTGGCAGCAGCTGGGATCTGAGTGTCCTGCTGAAAGGCAAATGGGATCCTGGGCTCCATCAGGAGAGGGGTGGTCAGCAGGGACAGGGAGGTGATCGTCCCTCTCTACTCGGCTCTTGTGAGGCCCCATCTGGAGTACTGTGTCCAGGTGTGGAGCCCTCAGTACAAGAAAGACATAGAGATTTTGGAAAGGGTCCAGAGGAGGGCGACTAAGATGATCAGGGGGCTGGAGCACCTCCCCTATGAGGACAGGCTGAGGGAGTTGGGCTTGTTCAGCCTGGAGAAGAGAAGGCTGCGGGGTGACCTCATTGCAGCCTATCAATACCTGAAGGGAACCTACACCCACGAGGGGAGTAAACTCTTCAAAAGGGCTGACAACAGCAGGACTAGGGGAAATGGATCGAAGTTGAAGGAGGGAAGATTTAGGTTGGATGTTAGGGGGAAGTTCTATACAAGGAGAGTGGTTAGGCCCTGGAACGGGCTGCCCAGGGAGGTTGTGGATGCCCCGTCCTTGGATGTGTTTAAGGCCAGGTTGGACAGGGTCCTGGGCAACCTGATCTGAATGTGTGTGTTTGGTGGCCCTGCTAGGCAGGGGGGTTGGAACTACATGATCCTTGAGGTCCCTTCCAACCCGGGTGATTCTGTGATTCTGTGATTCTGTGTGATTCTGTTTTTTCACCTGACGCTGACAGGATACAGCCTTGATCACATCAGTGCTGCATGTCCTCTAATGTCTTCTCCTCATTTTTTCTCTGAGTGCTCAGAATGTGGAATACAGGTGCTTCTGAAGCAGCAGTATGGTTCACAATGGGAAACATCCACAGGCAGCCCTGCATCTGCCAAACTGCTTAGTGCCCAATTGCATTCTGTGGCAAAATACTGATCAATAGTGATCATGGTAATAAGGTATGCTTATGCAAGCACTGTTTTTAGGTAATGAAGTAGATGTGGTAGTTCTGCAGCCTGATTGTTTTGGCTGGAAATCCATAATCCAGTTATGCTAGCAAGAAATCTCACATCCCCTGCCTGTGCAGGCCTTCAGTTGTTATGACCAGGGATGGTTTGTTCTGCCACACGTTACCACTACTTTATCCTGCCTATGCTTTTTAGCACTGTAGGGGATGCAGGGGTTGTGGCAGGGGTTACTGCCAAGTGTATTCCCCTCACTCTCTTACTCTGGAGCTCTTGGCAGTAGCTTTGTAAAGAGAGACCTTAGTTCCAGCCCTGCACTGGTGTTACTGTGATGTAAATAGAACCAGAAATGGTGGCAGAAGGGATTAGCTTGCAATGCAGAAGGCTTTCTATGTAAATTTCTGTAGTCGTGCATAGCTATTGTCGGAGTATTTATTATGCAGAAGGCTTTATTGCAAAACCCTCTCCAGTCAGCCAGCGCTGCTGTCGGATGGTAGCACGAATGTGGAACTTCAGGTCCTCGGACAGCTTGCCAGTGTTGCAACGTTTGGCCACCAGGGGGCGCAGCGCTCACGGAAAGCCCTGCATGGGGAGCCTGGAGTCCTCGAGGGGTTCTGCGAGGTGTCGGTGCGTCTGCCTGCGTTTGTTCCGTTTTGATGATCGGATGTAAGCCAGTGCTAGAAAGTCTTTTCCAGCTCCCAGTTTCTGTGTGTCGCACTGTAATTGTATGCGAATAAGGAAAGTTTGGATCTGATCTTGTACCCTATTGGGCACAAAACATTTCCAGCACGGCACGCAAAGCTTCAGACAGCTCGTCGTACCAGCACCGCTGCGAGCGTGTGTGCGATGTACGTGGAGTCTGAAAGCGCTTGCAGACGTGCAACGTGTCTTTCGGGCTGTTGGAGCTGGAGCCTCGTTTGCCACCAGGTGGCAGCATGGGAGAAGGGAAAACTTCGTTTTCCTACAATGGAAAACACGGGATTGGAATTTTTCTAGATGCGTAACAAAACTGCTCTGATGCTTAAATACCCAGGAATATAAAATGGAATCAGCTCTGCAGCTAAACACCTTTGTGAAGATTTTCCCCATTAGGATGATGTAATTTCTGCACAGTTTCTGCCCAGTTGTGTATGTTTGTCCACTAGCTTAGCTTTACTTGAGATGCTGTGGTTGGGGTGAGGGATGTTAGAGGTGGCTGCAGTGGGGCTGCAGAGGATAGACACGAACATGTTGCACATGGCCTAGCCTGGAAACAGCTACAAATGATAAAAGCAATGCTGGGTGTGAGTGGCTGGCAGGTCCTATAGGTTTGAGAGGGGCAAATATGTGGGAAAGCACTTTGTGTCTGAAAGCTCTATGGGTTAAAACAGGCATCCTGTTGCTTCCTAGAGTGTGTGAACTCCATTTCAGTAGTGAAAGCTCTGGGACACTGGGCATTTCTTTAAAAAATATATAATAGCCCTTGTTTTTAGAACAATTTTGTTCTTAACAATAAATACATTACTTCTCTGGGCAGGTAGAGAAAGAAAGATGATCACACTCAAGGCTTCCCAGGTGACCATGTTCCTCTGAAAACAATGGAAAAGTCATCACGGCTCTGCATGTGCTGAAGAAAGCATGAAACCTCAGGTAGGAGCACGTGTCCCTCAGTCAGGGTTGGCTGGGCCGTGCTGTCTCCTTGCTCTTTCTGGTTTACACTGTTGCTTATGTTGTGTAACACTGTATGAATGATGACTAGATTTTTTGTGTGCGTGTGTTTTTGTTGTTTTTTTTCCCAGACACTACCTCAGTCTTGTGTTCAGTCTTATCTGTCCAAAATACTGTGGTATGCCAGGCTTCAGATTGTGAGGAGTTGTTGAGACTGCTGAAGCAATGCTCTCCAAACTTAGAAGAGAAAAATAGCAGCTTGTTAGATTTTGTGTACATGTTCTGTATTACTCTTTCAAAAGACATTCTTTGCACATGATTCTGTACTGTATTCTGCTGCCTGCACATGATTATATTCCATGAAAAAGAAGCACAGAGGTCAGTAGGTAGTGCCATTCTCTAGTTGGCTTACAGTTACTCTGAGCTTACATCTGTTCTTGTCCCATGAAGGTCACTGGTAGCTCTCAGGATATGGAGGCTGTAACTGGTGAGGGTGTGACTGCAATAGGGCACGTGTGCTCTGTAATGGCAAGTCGTAGCTTATGCACTTGGGTTGTGCTGGCAAAGGCACAAAGTGACAGATGGAAAGATTCTTCTGCAGGTGGGAGGCATAATAAACGTACATGAAAAAATATAGTAACTTCCATGTGCTGAAATAATAATTTGGAATGAAGCCTCCCAGGCATATTTTAATTATCCCTTCAGCACTTGCATGTGCCAGAACTTCTAATGGCATATCTCCAGAGCTTAATGATTTTGCAGAGTAATTAAATTGTCAGCCACGTGAACCTCCTCCACCTGACCTCTGCACGGTTGTATGCTGTTTCCCTTGCTTGGCATATATATATGGTTGTCATTTGCCTGAGTTTCTCAGTAGGAAACAACTTCCTAGCAATCAGTATCAGACAGTTTCATAGTCCCTCTGCTAGGACTTAAGTGAATGAATATAAAACAATTCTCTAGGCCAAAACTGCTGTATGAATGTAGTAACAAATGACAGTAGCTTGTACTTTCACATAACAATTACATGGAAATCTGGCTAGCCCCAGGACCACTTCTGATAACTGTACATTTGGACTGTAATGTTTGTAGTAAACTTAGAGCTGTTACAGGCTGGGTACAGCTGTTAATAGCACTGTATTACTGCTCATATCTTTAGCAGACTCTTTTTCTTGTAACCTAATTTTTTTGCTCCTGACCATTTAAGTCTGTAATCTGTCCCATGAGCAAAATACCTCCTCAGCACCTTAGGAACATACTGGGATAAATAACCTGCTCCCCAGCAACAGTTACTTTTGTGTTTCTTGCAATGCAATTGAGAGCTCTCCATCTTCTTGTTTTTCATTACCTGATGTAATACCAAAGCAAAAAGGAAGCCACTAAGGACTCTGTTGGGTCTTTTACTGCCTGTTTGTGGTAAACTTGCTTTTTGCATGATTAATTTTGTATGCTAGCTGCAAATACAAATAAATACTCTGTGTAACAAGCTAAGGTGCTAAATTCTATCCCTGAATTTGTGATACTGTTCATGTTAGCAATCAACTCTATGTGTTGGTTTCTGTGGTTTTTTTTCCTTCATATATTGTCTCTTGGATTTTACAATAGAAGTTTTGAAAATTCCCCTCAACAAGTATTCTAGCTGTAGTTCACCGTGAGGTGTTGCTGGTGCCTTAGTAGACAGGTTACTACACAGCATAGTACTGAAAATGTCACTCTCTTCTTCATTACCCGAGTACAAAAATGTTTTCACCATGGTGGGAAAACTGCCTGAGCCTGCTGTGAGGTCTATGCTCACCAGGCTCCAAAGGGCCCCCAGCTGTGCTGCTGGATCTCTGAGCAGGAGCTGATAAAAGAACGGTGTGGGCACGGCCTGCTGGAGGAGCCACCGGAAGAGACACGCACAAGGGAGGAGGTTTTACTGCATGAATGTGAAATGTAGCTTTACGTGTGGCATAGAAAATCCGAGTAAGTGAAGATGGACACAGTGCAGTTAAATACAGTTTATTTTTGCCTGCCACCATACACAAATTAAATGACAAAAGCTGATCTGTCGGAGCACTTGACTGTCTTGTAACCAGACATCTCATGTTGAAAGAAGTGAAATGCTGTCAAA